CAGGGCAGTTTCTTTGGGCCCTCACTCACCAACCAGGTCATTGGCTTCCAAGGCAGGCAGGCCTGGGTGGGAGAAGCAGAGACTGGGTGATAATTCATGACACTAGTCTCAACATGAATCAGCAGACAGGACCTCAGCCCAAAGGTCAAGGACAGACAGCCAGTGTCCTTGGAAGGCACCCTAGAATCCATTCCCTTCCTCACACCTTCCCAAGCCCCAAACAGCACTGGTATTCTGTCTCCCATCCCACAGCCTTTGGCCTCCCATTCACAGCCTTTCCTTCTGTTTCTCAGGCTTCCTGCTGTTCTTTCTGTACTGGAAAAGGGATGATGTGTTGGTATCTTTTTACCCTCTCCTGAGAAGCTTCCTACACAGACCCTGCCTAACCCTCTGCTTCCTGAAGAAATGGGGAATGCTTTCTTTTCATGCCAGCAGAGTTTAAATACCCAGGATAACTTTTGAAATATCTATTTTTTACTTGTACTGTTACTTCCTGTACTATCATTTCTTGTTATTTCGACAGTGTAAATGAAAACACATTTATCTGACACTAGGCCCCCTTTGAGAGATGCTGCCCTGGTCTTCACTGCCTTAGTGGGCATGTGAGTGGCAGCAGGGTCACCTCTTGAAGGACTCACCTGCCAGGATGAGGAGAAGGCCCCAGGTCACTCCCTCCATGTCACAGCTGCAGGGCAGGGCTGTAAGGGAGGGGATCGGGTTAGGGTCAGGTGGCTCCCACCTGCCCAGTGAGAGAGCAAGGGCACCAATCGCAAGGGTGCAATTGCTTATAGGGCTGTCTTGGGAAAGTTACTAACTTCTGTTTCCCCATTTAGAGATGATAATAGTAGTGTCTTGTGGGGTTATATGAATTGAATTAATACTAGTTAAGCACTTAGAACAGCCCCTTTACGTAGTTAAGCGCCCTATATGGCTTTGTTAAAATCTGCAGTCAGATGCCTAACCCAAGGTATGGTGAGCAGGGCTGCTGTTCTAACTCAGGCACAGATGTCTCCTTTCCTAACACCGCTGCCCCCTGCCCCCCCACCCCCTCGCCAAGTCCCTGGGCTATTGTTCCCAAAGGTCTGGGCCTGAGGCACTATCAGGCTGAATTCCAAGATAACTTCCACAAAGGGTGCACCTAGGCCTGAGCTGGGCAGAGGAACAAGCAGCAGAGGAGGGGAAGTGGGGAGTGGGAGGATTGCCAGTGGCAGACAGACTCTTACCCCAGCCCTGGCAGGGGCCCTGCTCCAGGCAGCCCCAAATTCCACTCTCAGAGTACAGACTGCTATTGGCAGGAAACTGCTTGGTGGGTGGGACATTGCTCCTTTCTCCTTTTTCCTTTCTCCTTTCTCTTCAGGGTGGTAACTAGTTCCTGGTGTGGCTAAGCCCAGGAGATAAGGCCCTTCCCAACTTTCTGCATATTGTTAGCTGCAGGAAGGCACAGGAATTGGCAGTGTTCCATACAGAAGCCGTTGTTATTTGCTGGGCTAAGCAGGACAGAACTCTAATCTACTCTTAGCCATTTAACAGCTGTGTAACTCAGCAGGTTACTTAACCTCTCTGTGCTTGTGTCCCATAAAATGAGGATAATTATAATAATAGCAACTCATAAGACTATGACTGAATTAAATAAGTTAATATGTCAAGCCTAAGAACAGTGCCTAGCACATAGTAAGTACTAAAAATGTGTAACAATAATAAATACATAAATAACTAGGTCCTATTGCTGTAGAAGGAATGGTCTATTAACATGCTGCTTCTATATGTGAGGATGTGTAGATTTTGAGCAGTCTCTAAAGCTGGCCCTCCTTTAGACTGCTCTGCCTCTACTCATTTTACCACCCTGGAATTCCTGGATCATGAGGGTCGCAACTCCATTTTACATATTCTTTAGCCAAATACTGGCTCCTGGTTCTTCTAGCCCCCAACCCACCACCCATGTGACAGTGGTCACAGAGCAGACAGTCTCCAATCCTCAAAACCCCCAAACACACACCCAGTTACCGAGAACGCCCAAGCGCTGCTACCCCTTCCTCAGGCTGGTACTCTGGGTTGCCCCTCCACCTGCAACCCGAAGTCCTAGCAGTCACCTCCTCACCTGAGAGCCAGTTCTGTTGAGCTCACTTGAGAGAAGTGTGCACAGAGCAGGTCTGAGGAGGCTGCTGGCGCTGTGTTCAGCCCAGTGGGTTCCAGCTCTTTAAACCCAGCAGCCTCGCCCAGGGCAACAATACCTTCAGACAGGAGGGAACTGGTCAGACTCTAAAACTCCTGCAGCTCCCTCTCCACCCTGTGCTCTTAAGGAGACAGCTCGCCCTGCCACACCTAATGCGAAACAGAGCCCCTGAGAGCCCCAGGACCTTCTCAGTTCTGAGCTGGTGCCGAAAGAGAGGGATGGGCAGCGCCTTAGACCCTTCTTTTGAGGAGAAAGCAACTTTCAGCTTCTTCAGCTCACCTAGATCATAAACGAGGAGCCCTAAGGCGTGCTGGAGGGGGATGAGGCGTTTCTGGGTTCTTGTGCCAGCAGTGAGGATTCCAGGACTTCTGTGTGGCAGTGTCCTGGAAACACTGGAATTGACCTGGAGTCAGGAACTGTTCTTGAGGCTCCATTTCCTCAGCGGTCCCATTGCTTTTCCCTGGACTGGGTGTTCATGGGAGAGGGCACTGCTGGGGCTGACGGGCACCCCTCAGGATCATCCACTCTCTGACCAGGCCCTGATACCCACTTTACCCAAAGAAACTGACAACTGGAATTCAGAAAGCACCCAGGTCCAGGCCCTGGTTTCTCCCCTACCTCTGGGGCGGGGCTCGGAGGAAGCAGAGGAGGACCACCAGCTCCAAGATAAGGAGTGGGCTGCCTCCTTCTACAGACCCCCATGCCTGCCTTGTACACTGCTGGCCTACTCTTCTCTTGTCCCTCACCCCACCACATACCTTTTGCCTGTGCCCTTGGCCCTGGATGACCCCAGGCCTCTCTATTCTGCAGTCCCCTCTCCCCAATTTCTCTGTTCACTGCTTTTCCCACTGCACGGTGACTGAAGACAGGAATGTTGCCTCCCTTATTCCCAATGGCCAGCCATGGGCACCGAAAAATAGATTTTGATTGAATTGTTGTAGGAGGAGGTAATCAAGAGGATGTGATCACCAGTTGACCCTTGAGCTGGACCCAGGCAATAAAAGGCTCCTCACCTCATCCCCTGTTCTTGAAATTTATGCTCTGCCTGTTGATCTAACAGTGGGAACTGTTCCAAGGACATAGCTTTGTGTATTTTTTACTAGTCTCAGACTATCAAAAACCAATGTTGTGGCTGGATGAGCCCTTGTGGTTATTATGATTGCAAGATGCCCTTCAGCAATAACCATCAAGAAACTTTGAAAAAAATAAAGATTTATTAACTCACAGGACCTAGAAATTACCAGAACACCTGAGCCAAACAATAAGATAGTAGGAGAGGGGGAGGGGGAGAGGAAGAGGAAGAATGGAATGGGCTTGGGGCTCAGCATTTATTGGGGTTGAGGGTAAGGGCCTAGAGTTTCATGGGCTCACAATTTATTGGTGAATTTAAAGCATAAGAGTGGGAATTTAAATCCTGGGAAGAGAAAAACAAAATACAAGTAGCTCAAATGGTCAGTTATTGAATTCAACTTCTCAGTGAGGGAAGGTAGCCTTGTTTTTTATCTAGTCTTTGTTTAGCTCTTTATCTACAGTGGTTAGCAATATGTTTGAGATAGTTATCTTTGAAATGGATACCTCATACTTCAATCAAAAGCTTAAGTCAGGCACTTGCATTACGAAAAATAAAACAACTCTCTGGGCTAACATAACAGTAAGCTTTGAGAGTATAAGGTGGTGTTGAGAACACCTGGATTATGTACATGACTGAACCCAGATGAGGCCTCTATATAAGCTTTAAAGATTCTGACAGCCAGGTGCAGAGATTTACTCATCTTGTGGTTGTCCAAGTCAAACTTCGTAAGTAAGTTCCCATGCTTATTAAACCTGCTACCTACCAATCTGGAATGTTCTGCCTCTTTCTTCACTTTCTCCTTACCCTCCATGTAGGGGATCAGTTTGCAAAGCAAAAATTGTTGAGTCAGTGAGGACAAGAAGCCATCAGAGTTTCCCAGTGCTGGGTGGCAGGGGACAGGCCAAGGCCATGAAATGCAGGGTGGGGAGGATTCCAGTGAGTAGGCAGGGGGAGGGCATTCCTAGTGAGAATGTGTGCATATCCTTATGAAAATCTTCCATAGTGCTCCCTGTTTTCAAGTTTCAGTTTGCACAGTTTGACCAGAGGCTCTGGGGCCAGAAAAATCAGAATTTGAAGCCTATTTCTCCACTTACTTACTGGGTGATCTCAAGTAGCTCTTTCATCATTCTAAACTTCAGTTTCCTCTCCCGTAAAATGGAATAATGACAGGATTTACCTTCAAGTTTTGGGGTGGAGGTGCTGCAGGGGCTTAGGTCTGCCCCATGGTCAGCCCTTAGTATGTATTTATAGAATGAACACCTCCCGTGCCTGGGGTGGGGAAAGTTCGTTAACCTCAATTCAGAAGAAACATTATTAGCACATTAATAGTCAAATTCAGGCTCTGTTAGTTATTAGCTATGTGTATTTCAGTAACTGACTTACCGTTTACTTATCTATAAAGTGGGAACCATGACCGAGACTACTTTGAATGTTTGTGGTAGGACATTTGATTATGCTGCTCAGTTCCCAGGAGCTGTTATTGTAGTTGGGAATGGCCCTGTGTATACATGGTGAGATCTGCAGCATGAGAGAAAAGGGGTCATCATTAGAGAAATCTCCGTGGGGAAACTGCATTTCAGAGCAGAGAAAGGTCTTGCTTAATAAGGTCACACCGTGGGTACTCAGCCAAACTTTCTAGACTCCTCAGCTGAATTCTTCTGCCCTGTCAGGCTACAGTGGGAAATAAGCAGCAAGAAAGCAGGCATTTGTAATAAGGGGACCCTTTAAGTCACCAATGCCATCTTTGCTTTATAGGTCTTCATGAACTATATATGAAAGGGACTTCAGATCCACTTCTCCAGAAGGACTAGAGCTTTTGCTCCGCCTTGCGGCTTCTGCCCTCTTCTGGGACCACCACTCTCATTCCTATTACCAGGAGGTCTTGTCACTTTTAAAAGGTAGAAAGAAAACTTCGCCTGAGCCTGGTGGTATTGACACTGGTCCAGGGTAGGGGACTGGTTGAGCCTGGGGCAGAGCCAGGGGAGGGAGCCCAGCTACCTGTGAGTAACTTCTGCAAGCACAATGGTAGGTTACCACCTCGTCTCCTCCTTTTGCCAAAGTTGGCCGTGTAGGAGCACCATGGCTGAGTGCTGCGTTGTCCCTTTTGAGAGGCCTCGAATTCTCTCCACACACTCAGTGGCAGGCAGCAATGTACCACACTGAAGTGGTACAAATTCAGTTCCCAGGTTAATGAATTCATCTTCTTAGATATTAAACCCAGTACTTATAAATGGTCATGAAATGAGGTATGGAAAGCTATAGAAGCTTTGATTATTAAGAAAAATATACTAAACTGTTATTTTATTCATTAGGAGTATTTAGGATGAACAATTGCTCTCTCAAGATGTGATTCCCGAGGAGCTGGACTGGCAGTGAAGGCTGTTTTCAGGAAGTCACACACAAAGAGGGCTGGTCACTGGCCCTGCTTCTTAGACATGCATTCCTTATCCACATCCCTGGAGCCATCCATTAGGTTTTGATTTCTTATCTACTGCATGGGAGAGCTAGGTAAGAGGCATTGAGACCTACAGGGAAATCAAACCTCAGGTGATGAAAGCCTGGGAGGAGTGGGTGATGGAGAGCCAGCCTGTTGGCTGGGTACAGATGAGAGTCTGGAGATATCAAAAGTTGTGAGAGAAAACTGCTAGATCCAGCTTTGAACTCTTTCTTCCCTTTCTGGACTCAGCACTGCAAAGGATTCAAAGTATCTTGTGTGGAAGGAGAGTAGCCACCTGAAAATCAGCATTCACGCCGGAGGACTCCCTCCTCTGTTCATGTCAATCACTGCCACAGCTCCCACACTTCCGTACTGTGGTTTCTCCTTCTCCAAGCACTACCTATTGCTCTGTGAAAAACATAGATGCATCCTAAAAACCAATTGATTTCCCTGAGGAAAAATAATGAAACAGGACTTAACTAAGATTGACCAGAGGTAAAATAAAAAGGAAGTGGCTCATATCCTGTGTGGAAGATAACATGAGTTTCTAGTGGGAAAATAACATGAGTTTTTTTCCCCTGCCTTCTATGGTAGACTGACTGTCACAGGCATCGGCAGAAGACCGAAATTGTCTATTTTGAGAGTTCTGATGCAGGAAAAATACACCATTCCTGAGAGAACCAGAGGAAGAGCAGAGGAAATCTCTTCTCTGAGGCCTCTCCCACCTAGTCCTACTTCCTGGGATCCGTCTCCATCGGGAGTCTCATCGCTTTTCTTGCCGTCTTATTACTGACCCTTTTGAGGTCAGGTACCCAAACCAAGGTCTTTCTGCCCAGAGTGAATAGAACGAAACTGAATTCAGTAAAGCAGAGTAGAAACTTTATTCTCTGATCAAGGAATGGAGAGGAGTGAACTTGTGCTTGAAAGGCACCTTCTTCCTGAAGTGGGAGGTCCGGGAGCTTTTAAGGGGTTTAAGGTAGATAAGTGGGATCAAGGGGTAGTGAATTTTTAGAAAAGGGGTGGCGATTTCCGGGGAAGAGTTAAGGTATGTGCAGTCCTGACGGCTCCATTGCACATGGCACTAATTGTGCCTAGCAACATACACTTCTCCCCACTGGGATAGATTTTTAGTTGTGTTAATGAAGACAAATTCACCGGAAGTGTGTGTGTGGGCGGGGCGGTCTACTGTAACAGCTATCCTGAGCTTCTGGGTCTGCAGGTGCTGTGGTTAACCGTTAGCAGTTCGCCTTAGTTTCTGTAAGCAAGCATAGCTTGGCCTAGTTTAGACATTCGGGAACAGTAGGGTTTTCTAGATGATAGCCTGGTGACGCTCTCTCTGCATATTCCTGATGTGTACTCAGGGTGCGGCAGATCTGGGGCTCAGTCCCTTTGAAAACCGTGTGGGGAGGGAGGCAGCCTCTCTGCTCACCTGCCTGCCTGTATGAGCAGGAGGTGAGCAGGTGTAAGATAGGGTGGAAAATGACCATCTATCTGAAGGCTAGCGACTGTGGAACGAAAGGCTCACTTTTCCGGAACTTGGCCTTGGCTGACTCCTGCGTATTGGGGAGCCGGCGGGAGGGACCCTTTGCGCTGTGGGATCTCAGAGCCTTCTGGACGAGGGGCTACAGAAACGAAGTAGGGGCCTCAAAAAGGGGAATACAGGGTCCCTGTGACAGCCACTCCACTCAGGGGTCTGGCGTGATAGCCCGGGTCCCTTTGTTCGACTGCAGCCTCTAGTAGAGGATCCTTCCGCATCTAGGCTTCCTTCAAGAGATCATTCACGATCCACCCTTTCTCCCTCAAGCAAGGAGTAGAGAGACAGCCAATCGGAGCGGGACCGTGGTGGCTTCTAGCCAATCAGCTTTAAGGGACGGCCGTTGAGGCGAGGCCGTGGGTGAAGCCGCCAGTGAAGCAAGGGCCCAGCCAGTGTGGGTGGGGCTTTCCTTTCGCGGAGCGGTACCGCCCCTCTTCGCGCGGATTGGCTGTCCGGGTTCATCAGTGTACCTGTCAAGCATCCTCTCTGCGTCGCTATGCTCAGCTCCTCGTCTGCATCCTCCTGTAACTGTCAAGTCTCTGGTTAATTCATTGCTGGAGTTTTTGTCCATCCATCATCCGTCCGTTCGCTCCGCCATGATGGTCACGGTCTTCTGGAGGTCGTTGTCTTAAGTAACTGGCACCTTAGAGGCTGGGAGGGATCGTAAAGTGAAGGGTCAGCACAGCTGGTGAGCAGAGAGCAGGCCCGGGCGGAGGGGGATGAGACAAGCCAGTGGAAGCGGGCTGCGTGGAGTGAGGCAAGAAAGCTGGTGGGGGAACTGGGACCCAGGGAGGGCTTCGGGCAGGGGAGAGACATTATTAGAACTACATTTGAGAACGTCTTTCGAGGGGTGAGAATGAAGACCTATGCAAGAGCAGAGAAGCGGGAAGGGTTCAGAGATGTGAAATACAGGCTGTGCCACGTTTCATTGACCCTCCTTCGTCTTCGTTCTGCTTCTTTCAGAGCTCGGTAATGCTTTCCTCTATTCCACAGGCCCCTTAGCACCTTTTACTACTCATGTCTCTCATCAACCAGACTTCTTAGCCCTAGACCTTAGAATGGAAGTACACACCTCTTCCTTTTCTATGGGCACTTAACAGTCAACAACTTCTAAAATAAACCTTTCTGTTGTTTTGCCTTCCCACTTACCCCAACCTTTCTCTATTTCAGAGTTCCCCCATCTCAGGTCACTCCTTTATCCACCTGGTCCTAAAGGCTACCACTAGGCACGCCACATGGAGATTATTTGTTGATGTGTCTCCCCTCAAGCTATAATCCCTCCCCTGTCCCCTTACTCTGGGGAACATCTGCTTCATTTACAACAACAGCCTTATTGAGTGCTTGCTACCTGGCGGTCTGTTTTCCAGGACTTCCGCATGTTAATTCATGTCATCCTCACAACCCATAAGGGAGGACTCCACTCAATTTCAGGATGAGGAAATGAGGTGAAGAGAGGTTAAGTGCAGCTGTTTGGCCACACAGCTGGAAGTGGCTGCCTGGCCCTAGAACAGGCTGTTAACTACTACTGTGCATTAAACTGTGCACGTGTTTTATTTTTAACGTGATTTAAAAACAGCTTCGTTGAGATAGAATTCACCTACCATACAATTATCTCATTTAAATTGTACAAATTAATGTTTTTAACATATGCACAGAATTTATACACATTTAAAAATATATACTTGGTATGAGTGATTTTTGTGCAGATGATAATATTTAGGTATTTTGTGTCAATAAGTGTACATTTTATTTTCACTAGCATACCAATTGTTGAAAAGTTGGTATTGCTATACATGTACTATGTGTACCATGCTTTTTAAATTTAATAGGTAGTAATTTGATTTTACAACTTCTAAAGTATTTTCATTTTATTTATTTATTTTTATTTTTTACACCTACAGCACCTGGGCTTTCTAGGTGATCTCCCATCCAAGTACTAATCAGGCCTGATCCTGCTTAGCTTTCAAGATCAGACAAGATCAGGCTTGTTCAGGGTATCATTGACATAGACGGTATTTTCATTCTAATATAATTACTTGATGTTTATTTACTCATTCAGCACTGATTTTTATTTATGTATTTATATCTGTTTACTGATTCAGCACTGATTTACTACTAATTCTATATTTTGAATCTCATTACAGTTCTGGCACTTTTCCGGGAACTAGAGGTTCTAAACAGGTCAGTGCAAAGCTCCTGCCTCGAATAGCTGACATCATGGTGAGGACAAGTAGGAAAAAGAAATAGATAGTATAAAATTTCAAGTATTGATTGACTGGTGTAGTGAAGACACCTGAAACTTTGGCTGAGGTGTAGAGTGCTGGGGTAGAGAGATAGCTTTCTTAGATTGGGAGGTCAGAGTGGGCAGCGATAGAAATAGGTTTAAGAGATTTGTATGCCACAGCCATAAATTTCTCTTTGCAATTTTTTTCCAGTTAAACTGAGCCATGAAGTAAAATACATACCCAGATTTTAGATTAGAGCATAATTTATGGAAAGGTTTTCTTATCTAGAACCAGTGGTTCTCATCCGAAGAAATGTCTCTCCATGGAACTTGTTTATCTACATCTTTATGGAAGTTATAATAAGATTAAGTATCTGACAAGGAGAATTGCTTACATATTTGGCAGTAATAAAATAAAAGAATGTTTTTCCTGGCATTGAATGTTGAAGTTGAAAGACTAAAACATTGGCTAAAAAGATGAAAGACACTATGATTGGAAAGGGTCTACATTTAAGCTAGTCTTAGTTCTGTGTTTCATTAGCATTAAATGTGACTATGAATGTCAATAGTTTCTAGAAGCTTGTCTGTTAAAGAATGCATCAAATTTGCTACACCTGAGATCTGGATTCAAGTGCAATTGAGCTTCACAAAGTTTTTGTTGTCTCCACTGCAGCAGCTAATTAAAAACCCCTGCAGTCATTTGTTAGGCAGTTTTAACAACAAACAAAGGGGCTGGTGTTACATTCTATTCCAATCAGACTACGAAAGAGAATAACAAGTACCTTGAAGCAATGCAAGCTATTGAAGAAGTTGAAGTTTAGTAAATAATGGGAAAAAACTATATTAAAAAATAGCAGTGTTATCTTTGGGGGCAATTTGAACTTCGGTATTGCATCAGAGGAGAGGGGGAGGATAATGATGCCGAAGGAGACACATGGTTTTAGCGAATAGAGCTGTAACAACAATAACCCAGAAGTGGGAATCTCTGAATAATATTTGGGCCATGATAGGTGGTTCCAAAGGCGTTCTTAGGTGATTGGCAAGTGAGGTAATTTAACTGACACTTGGCTGGCTGCTATACAACTCTTTGCCTAGTGTGCATGTGCTTACCCAGAATTCTATTACCATTGGGGTGTTCTTTGGGCAGTCTCTAGGCTGGGCTTCTATTCTTTTGTTCTCTTGTCACTCATGTCTGACTAGCTACCTAACAGCAGTTTTAACTTTTTCTTGTAATGTAAAATTAAAACATCTTATAGTTTGATGTATAAAGTCTTGAGAGCAATTACTTGCCTTTAAGTTCTTAATTTACTAGTAAAATGTTAATATATTAACTTCTTATCATCAACATTGGGATTTTCCACAGTGAGGGTCTGAAACAATCCCTTCCACCACGCAGCACTTGGAAAACCAGTTTTGCCACTAGGATGGGTAGAGTTTGCAGTATTCTACCTTTCAACAATGGAGACTAAAATCTTCTACCTAGGTGTAGATGTAATGGGGTGCATTGGTGTCGATTCCATTTCTAAATTGGCTCACCTGCCTTGGAAAACAATCTCATGGCTTCAGAAAACTGAAGTGTGCAAATATGGTGCCCAGCAGCGATACCCCAGATATATCCCTCAGAGCACAGAACCACCCACAGCAGAAGATGGGCTCAGGCACCCTGGAAGTGGGAGCTGAAGCTGGCCCAAGATGAAAGTTCCCTCTAAGAAAAGAACACAAAATGATGAACATAACATGATTGTGTCAAAATTTATTTAGAATGACATAGAATCGCAAATTTTAAAAAGCTGACAAATATAACAATTAAAAAAAATTTTTTAATTAATTTCCTGTCAAAATATTAATTTTACTGCTAAGGAAGAAAAAAAGAGTGCTGTAATAAATCGTAAATTCCTAACTGGGCAGGTCATGGACCTCACCATGCCCCAGGCACATAACTTCTTTGTTGAAAGGTTTTAAGCCAGCCCTGTCCCCTTTTCTGCATCTGGGTTAACATATCTTTGAAATACTTTTCAGACTCCTCCTCCTAAAGGGTGACCACCCTCCTGAGTACAGAATCTTAATTATCCTGTAATCTGATCCTTGACTTGCTTTCTCCCACCTTCCTGTCTGTAATCTTAGTTCCCTCCTTAATTCCAAATGCATAAAAGAAACCCCAAACTGTTATTCTCAGGAGCATTTGAGATCTTGCTCCCTGGTGTATGTCGTCAGTTTTTTCTCAAAGAAACTTATAAAAATTCTCCATAGGTTTGGACGTTTTTACCTCCACACTGGTAATGTTAATT